TCTTAGCCATAGACCAAAACAGGTCCCCTAATCCCCCCCCCCCACCCATGTCAGATTCAGTAGGTGTGATGCCAGCTTCAACTGGTCCACAACCTTGCAGGAAGAGACCCAGCATCCCAGGTGCTCAGCTTCCACCAGAGGAACAAGATGCCGGCTAGGGCTCCAACACCATGGGTTTCACCTAGGCACTTGGCTGCCACCAGAGTAAGTTCCCCCACTGCAGCTAGAATTAAACTGAACCCAAAAGGTCTTGGCCTCTGCACATTCAACTAATTTTACTGCTATTTTAAAATTTCCCATTAAACGGCAAGTCCTGGATTTAGATGCATTTCTCATCCTAAGGCTTATTTTAAATTAGTAACCCATCAAGTCCCCTCCAACAGCCTTCAGGACTTTGAAGGTATGGGACCAGACAAGGCTAGTTTTGTTCAAAAGCAGGGCAGGTGACAGCATAAACATAATGTTCACTGCAAACTGAATTCTTCTGGGCAAAAATAATCTGATGCAGTGTCAAGTGGAGCAGTCTCTTTAGTGGTCCAAGCTTAATGTTACATAGTTTCATAGATGTAGGGTTGGAAGGGACCTAAAGTAGATCATCAAGTCCGACCCCCTGTCCTGGGCAGGGATGAATACTCGGCTCATATGACCCCTGGTAGGTTTGAGCTCATATGACTCCAGCTAGGTGAATATCAAGCCTCCTCTTAAAGACCTCCAAGGTAGGATTTACCATTTTGTAAATCTATTTTGGCCAGAAAAACACTAGGACTTCAGTAACTCAGCTGCAACCTCCTTGGAGACAGGACTAAAGCTACATCTCAGTCAATCCTACTCTCTCTCATACTGTGGCTGATAAACCTTAACTTAGCAATTTACAGAGAAACAGAATAGCAAACCTCTACTAAAGGATTTACCACTTAGTGCAGAACTATCCAGCAAGTAGGCCACTAGGGATTAAGTTGCAGCCCCCAGACTCCTGCCTAGTTGCCACACCGCCACTGCTTTGGCTGCATCAGCATCCATAGTCTCCTGGCTCCCTTTCTGGCTTCCACCCCTGAAGATGGGGGAGGGAGCCCACAGTGGTGGGGTGGGGAGAGGAGCAAGCCCCCACTGGTGCAGCCTGTGGGGCATGCAGCCCCTGGCCACCTGGGAGCTGGGCAGCCTTTATTTAGTACAAAAGGACTTGCCCCTACACTCCCATGGACTGACTGAGGCTGAGGGCAGATGGAGGAATTCTACTGAAATCATATGATCAAGTTAACTGAACCTACACCTTGCAAAAGGCATTATAAACTACGTTATCTTTGAGCAGCAACTGTATCAATTAAGATCTTTATGACAATAATGGCACCAATGTGAAGGAAAACCGTGATATTTAAATGCTATACCATGTAACCTCTGCCTTATATGACCCAAAAGGACCACTGTCAAGATGCTGATTTTAACAAGGCTGTTTATCTGGAAGTCAAATGGTTTTCTTCCAGCCTTCTATCTCAGAAGCATGTCCAAATGTAGGCTTTAACACGTGCCTTCAATATAAGCCAATTCCTTCAAAAAGAGAGGATTGAATATCCTGGAGAAAATAAGACATTACCACATATTCCTCTTAATGGAAAGAAAAATTTACCTTAAGTTGCCCCACTACCATACTGAGTATGCAGCTGTCAGGTGTAGGCTGGTGGTCTTGTGCTGTGATGCTGTGCTGTATTTTCTGAAAGGGGAGGCTCTAAGACGAGAAGAAAAAGAACAGGGTTAGCAGATGGAAAGTGTTCTCTCACCCTGCAGTTCATTACATTACACAAAGTCAGTCAGTTAAATCCAATAGCATGAAATATTGAACTACTCTGGCCATAGAACTGGCCATGTTTAGGTTCTCAGTGTCACATGGAGATGCTGCTGGTCAGCAATTCAGTGTGTGAATTTCTCAAGACTGGTCTAAGGAATAGTTTTTCAGATGATCACCCCATAAGGATCATATCCTTCTGCAAGGGAACCTTATATTAGGCACACATCCTAATTTACTGCAGTCAAATTCTAGGGTTTACAGTTAAGAGCCCAGTCTAGAAAAATGTTTTTGTGGGTACAGCCCATATAGTTTTAGACTGAATCGACAGGAATCAGCCACAAATGATCAGCATCACTTACTGGGCTCCTGTCTCAAATTGACCATCCGGCTCCACTCCTACCTGGGACCCATTCTGCCTTTTTTCTTCCCCTTTTGCACAAGGAAATACCAGGGGTAGTTCTTAGAGAAGGATGAAACTGATTAAATACTTCTCCATTCAAAATTTAACGTTAAATAATCAACACAGTCGCATTCATTTAATGCATGTTTCAAGTGGAATATTCTAAGTGAAAATATCAGAGCCTTCCTTTGAAAAATATCATGCCTATAAGTAGCACAACAGAGAGCCTTACAGGGTTTGCTGAGCTATTGTAAAAGCAAAGCAATCTCAGTCATCAACCTGAACTAAATACCTAGATACACACAAAATTCCTCCTTGAGTCTCTACAATTCAGTGATGGGATCAGTCTTCTAAATATGGATTCTCTCTTCCAGACGCAAACAAATATTAGGCCTTGCTTGTTCATATAAGCTCTTTAACAGAAATGTTTACTGTAAGAACTTCTAAAGTATGAAGCGGTATCACTCTCCCAGCTTTCTTGTATATTCAAGTACAAATATTCTTTATATATGCTACCACTGTAGCCTAGAAGCAGTCAATAGCCATAAGCTATCTTGGACTGACATCTTTTTTCTCAAAGGATCAGGCAGCAAGGTCTTCTTGAAAATTTGGGCTCACAGGAGCAGGATTGTACAACTCTCTCTAGGGCAGGGGCAGACAACTATTTTGGGCGGAGGGCCGCTTACTGAGTTTTGACAAGCCATCGAGGGCCACATGACAGGCAGCCAGGGGCAGATAAGTATTAATTTTCTAATTTTTTTAGGGGCCCCACAGGCTGGATAGAATGGCCTGGTGGGCTGCATCCAGCCCCCGTGCTGCATTTTGCCCACCCCTGCTCTAGGGAAACCGGGTGCTCTACTTTCAGAATTACTTTACAAAATAAAAAATTTCAGGGAAAATTAGAAACTATTATCCACAGTATTTAAACACAAACTTACAGGTGTTCAGAGCACTACTTCCTGAATTAAATGAACTCCAAGAGAGATAAAATTGCAGGCAACCATGTACAGTCTCTGAAAATGAAATAGAGGACTTGTCACTTGACAAGTCAGTGTAGGCAGCTGCTACTTTCATGACAAATGCCATGACACAATAATCATTACAAATTCCTGGATGCTCTAGAATCAAACTGCCTCCCCTTGGAGACAGAGGAAGCATCTCCAGAGTTGTGAACTGCAATGAAGAGTAGACATCTAAGTCCAATAAAAATAAATTTGACCACCAAGTCCCATCATCCCTTCTAGGCAATGACTACTATGATGCTGTAAGCTAGCAGCCTGTGGGTGAAGGAGAGTCAGTTCCTACTCATCAGGTCTCAAACAGCTCAGAAGAACATGCCAGACAGCTCAAAAAGAGAACACTTCAGTGCTCTGAACCTTAACTAGCCGATCACACTTTCCAGTTATTTTGGAAAGAGAAAGAAGAAGCGTTCTGTGAAATTAATATCCTGAATACTTCAGAGCTAGGTGAGACAAATTTAAATTAGAACCTGCCTTACCTAACACATCCAAGGTGCAATCACTTCTCTACATGGAACGCTAGGGGTAATATTTTCTAAACACCTAAGCAGCCTGGAAGCATTAAGTCACTTCTGAAATTTTTACTCCAGCTGAGGAACAAAGCAACTTAGATCCTGAGAGCTCTATGCCAGACCAGATGTTTGAAAAAAAACAAAACCACAGACTTACGGAGAGTTTTTCAACTATAGCTGCTTTGCCCTGGAATTGCTGCCCTTCCCATGTAAGGCATGATGCATCAATCTGAAACAGACAAGAAAATGTTAAGTCTCAGCTTTCCTTCCCTCTTAAACGTAGCAAGGAAAGACCTACTAACAACATGTTGGTCCTTAGATGTTTCTGAAACAGAGCTCACCCTGACTTCAGAGATTAAACATTCAATTTCTCCAGGAGAACTGGAGCATTACATTTTGTATGCTTCTCTACAAAGCAAAAAACTCTATACACCAATTAAATGCTTGCACTGTTACCTATAGCTAGATCAGTTGATTGGCAGTGCTATTAATAAGGGAAAAAACTACTTATTCTGTAGCCTTAAAACACAACTGTGAGGAAATTATCTGAAGGGAAGAAAGGGGGAAAGAACCCAAAGATCAAATGCAATGCAAATGACATTATGTGGGGCTAGACAGTAATAAAACTTCACGAACAGGATTCTATTGGCCAAAAAAAAAATCTGTTCCACTTATGTCAGAGAACAGGAAATAAGTCCCCCTTCATCTTCTAGAGAAGGAATTAAAGAAGGATAAGAAGAAAAGGGAAAGGAAGGAGATCACTGAAGCAAATATAAATCCTTCACGCTCCTTTACAAATCCAGTAAAAAATAAATTACAGAAATGTAGAAGTTTAGAAGAGCAAGAATGTTCACACAAAAAGGCCAGATGGTTCTCTATAAAAGTTGTCTAATACTTTGGCCAATTTAGATTGAGACAGACATTTTGAACACTTAACATGTAAAAGAGGCTAGAGGCCTGCCCTATCTCTAGTTTGTTAAAGCCACTTAGCACATTCAATGGAGAATCTGGTCAGCAAACGCACTCAGAGATGTCTCACTCCCATAAAGTGAAGAGTGGATTATTTGAATAAACCTTTTTTTTTAAATACATCCTTGATTTAGCTTAATTTTTCCAAAGCTTCAACCTAACTGAAAGATTTTGTTCTGTTACAATTTTAATGTCCACATTTAAATGAATTACAAACACAGTTTAAGCAAATGCCAGTGTCATTAGGATCAGGATTTTTCCTGAAGAGTATAGATTTATTGGCAAACCACTGAAAATATGAAAACTATTATTCGCAACTGCTTATAAACCAGAAGTAGCATGTAGTCTGTGTCCATACAAAAATGCAACAAATTAAGCACTGAATAAAAGGTCAGATGGCACGAATCATGCATCGTGGAGACCAACTGGCGACTACGGGGATGGTGTTTTGAGGCGGGCTTCAGCTTTCTTGATCACGACCGCCACATCACGACGAGAGACATGCTAG